TAGCTTACAAGATACAAAACATACATTACATACATTAAACATACACTGAACTAAAATTAATAACCTTAACATTAAGAATAAAATAATTAAAAATAAAGTAAAAGATAAAAATATAAAATATTATAAATATATAATATATAAAATTAACAGTAGCTACAGTAAACATCATTTCATTGTGATATGTGCAATATGTATAATACCTTATACAAATTGTACGTATACATAAATATTAACTACATTGACTCCTCTCTTGAACACTTTCCATTTCCTTTCATAACTATACTTACACAAGGACGATACCATGAGCAGAAAACAACAACAGAGAAATCAAAATTATGATAAATAAATAAAATAAAATACATTTCCAAGCAGAAATTCCACGAAGCATATCCTTCACAATGTTTTATTTTCTACCCAAGATTTAGCTTTTAAATCATACACTGGTTTTACACCAGTGAGAGTGTACCCTGTATATTAACACCCATTAAAATGCATTGTTTGTCATGCATAGTTTACATGCTAAATGTCAACTCACTAAGCACTGATTTGGTGATTTGCTTATTAGAAAATGTCTAAAACTCTGTGTTAAACCAAATAAATGGATTAGATTTAAACATGTAGTTAAAAGCGGCTTCACGTTGAATTATAATCATAGAAACAACGCTTACATGTAACGTAGAAGCCTATAATACCTCTCAATTTTTGAACCAGTTTCATCCTTAATGTCCCTCAGCCTGTGAATACTTACAGGGAAGTCATAAACAGCAGGTCTCAAATTCCCCCTGTAATGTGGCATGTGATAAAGTGTTTGGATCAGGAAACAGAAAGATAGTGAAGCACCAGGTTTAAAACCAGTTGGATGGCCACTAAACATTTCTTCATTCTTTGCCCTTAACGCTCTAAAAACAAGTCTAGATTAAAACTGATAAGTGTCACAAAGAACGAGCAGTGCTCTCATGTCAGCACAGCTCAGTCGGGTGAGCTAGTGTTCTGTTTGCAGGGGTGCAGGTGTGACAGTGCATGGTGGGTCAGCTCTGTTTCTCACTGATATTCTCACTCTCACAGTGCACAGTGTGTGATTTAACAATCTAATGGGATAATCTGCAGTTTATTGTTCACAGCTCTGGTTTTCATCTCTGCAATCGGTTGAGACCAACACTGTAGATTTAATAAGGTTTTCACCCCAGTGACCCCCCCAAGCTGTGAAGTATTTTGTTAGGCTTTAGTGCAGAGGAAGAGATTGTACTGGACCGTGAAAGGTCTGTCCGAGGTTTCTGCCTCTTAAAATTAAGTTTTTCCTTGCCGCCATTGCCAAGGTCTTGCTCATGGTGGGAACTGTTGGGTCCCTGTGAATAATTTTATAAGGAGTACGGTCTAGAATTGCTCTATTTTAAATGTGTCCTGAGATAACTGTTGTAATGAATTGGTGCTATACAAATAAAATTGAATTGAAAGTCAGAAAGCAGTACAGTATATATTAGTGTATCCTCATACTTTAAGGTGTTTTTTGTCTTTGATTGTCTTTTAAACATTGTTTTATGTCTTAAAATTGTAAATCAATTTGTGTTTGAAAGGTGCAATGCAAAAAACCTTTGCTTTTTTAAATGTATTAATAATTTAAAGTCTAGTCTCCTGGTTTGATGTCGCTCTGAATCAGGGAAATATTGGATTTTTGACAAATGTAAACCAAAGATTCTATTTCTTTCATTTAAAATCTAAAATAAAAATAAGAACTTGCATCAGGAAACATTCAGCCTTGGTTGCATTTGCACAGTTTGAGTGTTACTCTCAGGCTCCTACCTCTCTGTCAGAGTTATAATAAGCTCCGCAGCCAGCCGGCCTGTAGTCTATCTCCAGCTGTCAATCAAGATAACGTGCTTTATCACACTCGTGGCGTCACTGACTGAGAGAAGCTTTAGCTGAGAGAAGAAGTGAAACTACAAATAATTCAACACAGCCAGGCAGGTGGTGGCGCCTTCAAAATAAAAGCCTAGAGCCTAGAGATATATGGGGATATATTGATCTGATGTTGGTCTTT